GGATATATCGTATCGTGACCCCTCTGTTATGATATGTATCGTATCGCCAAATTCTTGCCAATACACAACCCTACACAGTACATGAAACATTTTAATTGCCTGCCAGAGATCAGATGTGTATCTGTGGACTATCTTGCAGTCTGCACACTCTGAATATGACAACAAGTTAATAAGCAGTACAAAAGGTCAGTTTTAAAGAGATGGGTGCATTCTGGAAAAGCTTACCACCAGGTGCAGAGTTCTTKGAATTAAGAAGTTCACTCAAAGGCTTTGTTACTCCAGCTCTAAGGGTAAGAATAGCACCTAGTCCTAAAATCTTTTTATTTGAGAAAACCCTTTTTAAAGCCTATTTTTTTCATTCCCAAACTAAAAATATGTCCCTTTCCAACAGTTCTGAACAGACAATCATTTGACGCACACTGAGAAAGCCACATTACAACACAGARCCCTGATGCTGCTTCATTATAGTAGTCTGCTCACAGACGTATTGAGAAAAGGTGGAACTGATACTTTTACGTTTAAGCCAGTAATTCATGACATCCTTTAATGACCTAGGTTTTCATGACATGCTGTTCATCTGCAGACAGAATGATTGAAGTCAGAACAAGATTTGCTAACAGTCATTCTTAGAAATCACTTGTGTTTATCTTAAAATAAAAAATTCCCTGAAGAATCTGGTGACTTCCACCATGTTTCTGTCCTGGCTTAAGCTCGGTCGGGTTCATGAGAGTGGCTGCAAGTTGCCACGCAATGGCTCGACAACAAAGGCTCTCATTGGTTGAGACAGACGACGAAGGCCATCTAAAGTCAACAGTGATAAAGATCCCACCCTGCGTCGTTCCCACTGTGTTTGTGTGTCCATAACCAGCCCAGTGAACAGACATCTGACAGAGAACTATAAATAACTGTGTTAATGCTTGTTAAAAAATATTTATCCCCGTTAAACGTCGGCTGCATTAACGTGAACATGCCCAGAACTAATCTTTTCAGAAGAGAAGATGGGAGTCCATTGAGCCTGACAGGAGAGTGGGACAACTCAGACTAAGGTCCAGACAAGGATGACCAAGATGGAGGGCTACATGTAGAAACCTGCTGACCCATCTGGGCCAAAACCAACATGCATGGATCTCATGTTTTGGATTTTGAGCAAAGGTTTCAGAGCTATAGTCAAAATGATGGATAGCAGCTATGTGATGCCAAGTTGAAAATATTTTGGCCAAATAGTGATCCCTGCGATGCAACTGTGGCACTGCCCTGAAAACTACATCACTTCTAGAAAGTCTGTAGTAATATTTGTGTAGACATGACAGTACAGTAATATTTGTGTAGACATGACAGTACAGTAATATTTGTGTGGACATGACAGTACAGTAATATTTGTGTGGACATGACAGTACAGTAAACACTTCCTAGCCATGTTTCTGCAGTAATTTCCCTCTCAATCAGTAGAAAATTACAACACRGGCAGAAATGAAGCATCTGTCTCATCAGAAAGTCAGATTTTAGCAGCAGGACTTCTGCATAATAAATGACTTTGCAAGTTTATATCCATACCATAAAAATGTCTTATTTTTTCTGTTTGTTTTAAGCAAAAATATAAAAACAGGTAATAGTTTAAAATCAAAAACTTTTTGCTAACATTCTGAATAAGCTTTCTTCCTAGTTGTTTTAATAAAAACATCAGATATTTTATACATTTCATTTCTAATTTGAAACTAAGCTAAAACAAAACTAGTAACTCTCACCTTTTACTACACTAGAATATCTGTAAAAATGTGTTGTAGCCAATAGTTTGTGATTGTTAATGTTGCTTACTTCAGCCATCTTAAACTGGGTTGACTTGTAAAGTTGTTGGAGGTGGTTGGTGATGTAGATTTAGTACCTATAATTGTTAAATGGTGCTGTTAATGTATTCCACTTGAAGTAGCCATGCACTGATGTGATGTCAGGTGAAAATAATCCCAGACTGTCAGAGCTCTGAAGTCCTGCCAGCCCAGAGCAGTTAAACCTCTGCTCAGAGGGTCACTGAGGACAGAAACAGTCCTGCTTCTCATTTTATGCATTGTTTCTACTCTCATTGCTACTGAAAATTCAACATTAGGCTCTGGAGCCGTTTATGGCTTTTCTGCTGGATTGTAAGAAGGGATTTCATTTGCTGGGAGGTTTTATTTGTGCCCAGTGTATTTACTGGCCACATATGGAAAAGCACTGAAATGACCAGCTGTTTGCAGAATTTCCTTGAGACAGAATTTGTTTTTTCAGATTTCCCTTGTTTCTGTTAATACTAGTAAAAATGTGGTAATTTTCAACAATAGTAAAACTTTAATTGAGATTAATTGTTGTTGTGTCTTCTTGTGAATGGGTGTTGTGAACTGTAATTTCATTGTGCTTTACACAATGACAATAAAGGTTATTCAACAACTCTTAATAGACACAGACTGCAGAATCCTTCAAAAAAGGACTAAAAACCTGCCTGTTTTGCACCTTCTATGGCCATGTTTGAGTTTTTATTTTATTTTTGTAGCACTTTGGGATTCTTCAATGTAAAGTGCCCTATAAATCCAATGTATTATTATTATTATTATTATTATTATTATTATTATTATTATTATTATTATTATTATTAGTGACAAGTCATGAGTAATCAACTCCCAAATATTTTCAGTCTGATATAGACTATTTATCCTGTAGTCTGGGTGACATTAGCCAGCTTGCTTGGGTTTTCTATTCAGAAGCTGAAGATGACAAAACTCTTAAATGCTACAGCAGTGTGTATAACACAACAGTGTCATTCCTCTCTTTACAAAAGACAGAACATGTCTGTGTGTATTAAAGGTTGTGAGTTTGACTGATAATGAAGGAACATTTGGTTTTGAGGTAACGACAAGCACAGATATTGTTGATATGCTTGAAGCAGCAGGCCTGGCATTAGGCATGCTGACCACAAACACACAGTTTCATGGTGTTGTTTTAATAGTGCACAACATAAAAAAAGACCACAGTCAGTTTAAAGCCCRTTGGAGCAGAGGATCTGTAAGTGACAAATGATTTCTCAGAGATGTGAGCAGTTCATCATAAGCCTGCAGCCTGCCCTCAGTACTGCCAGCATATTAAATTATTCTCCTCCACCACAGCTCCATCTGCACTTTAACTGTTAGTTATGAGATTTGTTTGACAGCATGAGCAGCCTGGTGCTCACTGACAGAGCTCTATGTGTTAACGGAGGATTAAACTTGCATAATGAAGTATAAACAGGTAAATTAAATCAGACCTGGTTCTTTGGCTGCAGCTCTGGCACAGAAAGGAACTTGATTATATTCATGAGTCATTTAAAAGCAGCAGACCATGAGTGGAAAAGAGTCATAATCATGATCTGTCTCAACATATGAAGTTGTTTTATATTTATTTTTATATTTAAACAAATGTTGTGATTCCAAAGAGTTCTTTTAAACATCATTTTTTTACCAGCTGACTTCCTGATGGTTTGGGTCACTTAAGAGACCTCTCTGAGGGAAAGACGGGTCTGTTAGTGTGTCACTTTATAAAGAATAAAGAACAGCTGAAGCATCTTTCTTCTCTCTTTAGCCATGCTAAATCTCATATTGTATTTTCGTGAGTCAGGCCTGCATTTTCACACACACACACACAAAAAAAAAAATAAAAAACACACAACTGCGCAGCCAAAATATGACCAGATCTCAACAAGTGTCAAACAAATGACTGAAGAGTTTACAGTGAGTCACTCTGTGTTCTCAAAACATTCAGGTGCACGCTGATCGAGAAATGAGTGTCACTTTTACCTTGCAGACAGTTTCTACATCCCAGGGCAGAATGGTCTTCAGATCGATGACCTCACAGGACACGCCCAGTTTCTCCTGAGCCATGCTGGCTACCTCCCTCAGCACATGGATCTAACAACAGAGGAAACACTTTAAAGCTGTGTCCACTCTGTGGAGAAATATAATCATATAGCCTCCTTGGTAGAAATGAAAAGCTGTTAAAATAGCTTTGAAACACACACAATTATAGTAAAAATACTAAACACCATACTGCTTCATTAACAACCAGCAGGAAACACCAGTTACACTAATACGACTTTACATATATATATTTTAGTTCATGTCTATAATTACTACATACAACAGCTGCAACATCTGTTGTGATCAGTCTGAACATTTATCATTTCAAGAGCTGTGAGCAGTTAATCAARTTTAGAGACAATAAATGAGACGGTTCTGATCCTATCAGGTGGTTTCTGTGAAAAGATTAGGATAAATGAAGGTGGTGTAAAGTTTTATCAAACACTGTTTATTAGAAGATTTCACAGCAGCTGCACAGCGTTTTGAGTTTAAGTGTGTTGTAAATTTGTTTCAGGACAGTAGCACTGTAATAATTAAACATTAGTCTGAAATAATTCATTTAAAAAAATCTAACTTTTCCTTCTAGCATTATTAAAATGGTTATAAAATGGTCTTTTTCTTTAATATTCATTCTAGTTTGAACGTTAAAATTGTGATAACCCTACTGTGGGGACATTAATCAACACTTTTAACTGAGTACTGAAAGAATGATGAAAAACCTTCACGCTGAAGACAGTTTTCTACTTTTACACTCACAGGCAGAGTCTGGTTAGGCCTCCGTCACAGAAACAGTTTTAATTTGTCGGCCGATTTTCAAAGACTGAGAGCAAAATCCTGGATACGTTTGGTCCTACAGTGTGTGCTGAACAGCCACATGGCAAGAGACAACACACAACACACACACAGTTATTTCATTCATGAACACGCTGATGTGAAATCTCCTGAGACTTCAGATGTCAGAGAAAAATCTCACGTGACCTCCAGAGAGACGTGAGTTCAGAGTAAATAAACATTTGAGACGGGGAAGAAACAATGTTGATCATTTGTGTACTATTTTTACCAGAGGAAAAACTATTTGTGTACTATTTTTACCAGAGGAAAAACAATTTGTGTACTATTTTTACCAGAGGAAAAACTATTTGTGTACTATTTTTACCAGAGGAAAAACAATTTGTGTACTATTTTTACCAGAGGAAAAACTATTTGTGTACTATTTTTACCAGAGGAAAAACAATTTGTGTACTATTTTTACCAGAGGAAAAACTATTTG